CCGGAATTCTGAAGGAATGATAGCCCATATATACAGCTTACATCATGTATTCTTTTTATATCTCCACATTCCCCTCCTCTGTGAACTGGCTTGTTGCCCGTCAGTTACCACAGGATGTTGTATCAGGTTTCCAGAAGCTTTGGAATGATGGCACCCAGCACAAGTCCCAGTACCTAACAGCTTCACACGCCTGAAGACTGACTTGGAATCTGCCTGATCTTCCCAAGTCCCAGTACACGCTCATGAAAAGTTTTTTCTTCATTCTTTTCTCTAAACCCACAGAGATTAGGACTGCCCTCAAAGGTCCATCTCTTGGACTTAAGTGGGTCCTTCTTCTCGCAGCTGCTGTAAGGACAGAGCCCTCTTGGCAGCTCAAAACACATAAATGAGGAGAGGGCAAATGATCTCTCATTCCTCAGGGCTAAACGCAGCTTCTCTCACCACAGATGAGCTGGTAGGAGGTCTGTGGATGCATCAGCCAGTGTTTCAAGTCACTAGCGGCTTCCTCACCTCTTGCCGTGGATAGAAAGTAAGTATTGTAAGAATTGTTCCTAGAATCTATTTCAGGAAAGAAAATCAAAGACCCATTTCATTCTAGCTTTGAGGAAAGAAGATACGTTTTATTTGGAGAAGAAAGAGCAAAAAGCCTACATCCTATCAGACACTGGTGTGATGCTGGATGCTGCCAGGGCCATGCAGTCTATGGGAGTTAGTCCCCAGTGGCTCATGGAATCAGGCTTGTTATGTTTATACTGGAGATGAAGTTTACCTGGAAGACCAGGGCACTGACCCGGTGTCACCAGCTGAATGTACACAAATCCTGGGCTAAAATCTGTTCTGCTTGTTTTCAAGGCTCTGATCTTGAGCTGGTGGCAATACACTTCACGCCAAGATTCATGAGTCCACTTGTTGGTCAATGCTGATATTTAAGATGTCACAGACAAGAAGATGAACGGAAGTTCCTAAAGGACCCGCATGATGTAGGGGGTAAGTATCTTTTGCTAAACTTCCGTTTTATTTGGAAATGTGGTGACGGTGCATGTGTGCATCTGTGAGTCATTCACACACAAAACTTATTTCGTATCTTGTTCCTTGGGAAATGTTTGAGTGTTGCTGTGTTGACCTGGCCAGTGCTCAGTACAGAGGCAGTAAAGGAGGCTATGCTTGTGTAGCGTCTTTATTTATTCCTGGTGGAAGCATTGCCATTCTAAGTAGTGGGGAACTTAAACCTTGAGAGTTTAACAATCTTATTTGTGGTCACCAAACCAGAAGTCACACACTTGGCACAGCAGGGACTAGAACCCAATAGACCAAAACTGTATCAGACACCAGAACAAGTCAGAGGTGACAGATGTTTGCAAAATGGGCTCAATTTTTTGATCATCACCTAGTAGCCCCAAATTTGCTGTTTTTCTTAGTGAGTTTTAAATTTTTGAGTTAACATGGAATACTTATACATTTTAAGGGGTTAAATGAACTATTTCAAAACATGTATGCAGTATAAGTGATTGTATTGACTGATTCGCTTTTTTCTCTATTTCTTGTTTAGTAGTTTAAATCAAGGGTATTCTAGGGCATCTCATGTTATCACAGGCATGGTAACATCAAGGAGACTTTGTAAATAAGTTGAATAATAGATGGGTAGATAGCAGAGAAAGAAGGGCAGAAAAAATGATGGAAGACAAAGCAGACCACAGAATAAAATCCTGCTGAAAAGATGAGCAGGAAGGCATTTCAGCACCAAGGACAACCCCACAGAGCCGCCCACTGGCCAGCACCCCACCCTTGCTCAGGACCATGGAGAGAGCGACCAGCTGAGAACCTTGGGCCGCCCCTAGAGAATGCACCTGCCTGAAAGCTCATCGCGTCGCCCTTGAAGCTGCAGGTTGGTCTTTTACCTCAAAGAGGACAATCTTAACAGGATTGTCTCTACCTAAACCGGCAGACTTGCAAGTAGTCATGCTTTTCCTTAATTTGGAGTGTGAGGAACTAAACATTTTTGAGGGAAAAACAATGCTAGGAAGAATGAGAGGAGAGGGAGATTTGTGCTTGAGGGGGGTGAGGGTGGGACGTAGTATTAACGTTTAAAGAGATCTCAGAAGTCACGCCTGATGTCTTCAGTCATGTTTCAAAGGGGAGCGGATCTGCTGGGAGAAGTTCAGGATGCGTCTAAAAGAAATGGTGCTGGTCACTAAGGCTAGGGCAAGGACAAGGACATAGGAACCACTGTAGAAGCTACTTTTAAAATGACTTTCACGTGGATGAAAAATGCAAAATATAAGCTTAGAGATCAAAATGACAACATAGCCAATCCTGCCCACGCAGACCCCTTTTGGAGAGAATGTGACAGCATTCCTTGAGAATCCTTGAGAAGCCCTCTGCGTGCCTACCCCCTTTCCTGCACCCTAAGAGACAGCCACCATCCCGTTTCCAGTCCATCAACAACAGGTGTTTGCATTTCCAAACAATATGCTTCTAAATTTCTGCATGTTTTGTCTTATACAGATTTAATAATTCTGTTGACATATTTTTGTAAATGTCTTTTTGCTCAAGGTTATGTCTCTGAGGCTGATTTAAAAGTGATGTTAGATTTAATTCATTCCTATTTTTACAGAATAGTACTTCATCATTGAATGAACCATAATTTACCTGTCAAGTGTACTATTAGATAGCTGGAATATTTCCATACAGGTTTTCGCTCTTTTTTTTTTTTTCTAGCAAAATAGTGCTGCTTCAAACGTTATTCTGGGCATAAGCTGTGATAGGATTTTTGAGACTTAGTCCTAATGATGTTTCCAAGCACTGAGTCTTACCGTCTGATGAAGAGTAGAAGACTTTATCTGGGTCCTTTGCCTTTTTCATACTAGAATATGTCTTCTGTATTGACAAAATCATTTGTGTATTATACACAGTGGGCTGTTATAATTTCTCTGAAGTACTTTAAAAGTTGGTGGAAAGTGCATCTAAAACAAATTAATTTTGATACAAAATTTTTGAAATCCATGTATAGATTTTGAAAGTATAAGTGCCTTTGCACTACTTTTTGAAAATAACTTGTATGGCACATTTCAATTATCCAAACCAAACAGCTTTTAATCGCATTATGCATAAGCTTCTTGAATTACAATTATACTTATTATACTTTTTAAGCTTTAAAAATGTGAATTTTAAAGTTTTAAAATTTAAGTTTTAACTTTTAAATTTTTGTGCTTATCAAAATTCATTTTAATGTAAGCAAGGTTTAATTCTTTTACCTTGTTGTTTTCTAAGCAATTATGAAAACATACTTTTTCTAAACTTTTAGAAACTTAGACTTTATATGTGTGATTTTAGTTAACCGAAATAGATTTTTTGAGCATGCAGTATAATGCAGGTGTTCAATTTTGTTTTAAAAAATAAAGATTAATAAAAGTAACCTTAATGATTTATTTAGTGTTTATTAAATTGTGCACTGACCAGATTAGGGAAACCAGGGCTTCCCCTCCTTGCACATCCCGATGACAGTTCTGCCGTTCCTTTCTATCTTTGCCCTCTGTGAAGTTTATCCAAGAACCATTTCTTGAAAACTTGTCTCTCTTCTGCTGCTCTGCCATACGAGTTGTGTCCTGAGTCAGGTTTCTGCGCACACATTTGCCCAGTGGACTGGCAGCAGGTGAGGAAGTTGGCACTCCCCAGCACTGATGGGACGGCACTCAAAAGGCATTTTCATGGTGTTGCTAGGAATGTTGTCTGATGTAATATCAGAGACAAAGCTGAGGTTTTCAGGGAAGGCTCCAGAGATTCACTTATTTATTTTTATTTGAAAATCATATTTCCAGAGAGAAGACTCTTCCATCTGTTGCTTCACTCCCTGATTAGCCGTGACAGCAGAGCTGAGCCAATCTAAAGCCAGGAGCCAGAAGCTTCTTCTGGGTCTCCCATGTGGGTGCAGGGTCCCAAGGCTTTGGACCATCCTCTACTGCTTTCCCAGGCCACAAGCAGGGAGCTGGATGGGAAGTGGGGCTGCCGGGACTAGAACTGACGCCCATATGGTCTCCCGGTGCTCGAAGGTGAAAGATTTAGCTACTGAGCTATTGCATCAGTTCCCCATTAACTTTTTAGAGTACTCTTGTATGTTATTGTTCTTAAGGGAGGTGTGGTTAGTAAGAGTCAGGGAGAAATTCTAGAAAATTCTTTGGTCTTTCTAGATAACTGTCTCCGGCAAAGCTTTTTCTAATAAACAGTTGCAAATCTCTTTCAAAGTTTAACCCAATTAGAGAAGCATACGCCCAGAATAAGGGAATTGTGGGGCTTCCTTTATCAAACATGCTGCTGGTGGTGTGAATATTAACGGCACAGTGGGCTCAGTTGTCCCTTGGGAGGCCCATACCCTATACCAGCCTGCCAAATCCGGAGTCCTGACTAGTCCACATTTCTAGAACACCTGAGATGGCTGACCAAGGAGGGGGTTCTATGGGGTTCCTGCTTCCTGGCTTTGACCTGGCATGCGTGTTGAGCACATTTGAGCAGTGAATCAATCGATGGAAGAGTCCTATCTTGGTCCTGTTCTCTCTCTTTCCATCTTCTGTATTGCATGAGTCTTTAAAACTAGTGCAAACAGATCCTTGGGTCCTCACAAAATTTTGACAACAAACCCAAAGAAACAAACAAACACAAACTAAAATGCCTAACCTAGAACAATCAAGATCAACAAAGTTAAAGAGGACAATTATTGCTTCATTAGGAAGCATCTTTTGATATCAGGAATACATTTTCTCCTCCACTTCACAGACAGGGATAATAAACTTTGAATACCTTGTCCAAAAGTCTAACGTTGGTGAATAAAGTAGAAGTTCTCTGATTCCTTTTTCCTGTTTTCCAATTGCTCCTCACTGTCCCCCCTGACAATGGTTAATCAGCAGCAAATTCTTGTCATCTCCAAGGGAAAGCAGAAACATGCCCGCCAGCCTGCTTACTCTGTTGATTTCTGCATGGACCATGGTTTTGACAAAGCTCTCTCTTTCTTCTCTAAGATGGACATGCCTCTCGAATTGGCCAATATATCCAGCAACCAGGATTTTATCCTCCTGGGACTGTCTGCTAGGCAAGGTGCAAGGGGTGCCCTGTTTGCCATCTTCCTGGCCCTCTACCTGCTGACGCTCCTGGAGAACTCCCTCATCATCTACCTCATCGGCAGCCACAGGGAGCTCCACAAGCCCATGTACTTCTTCCTGGGCAACCTCAGCTGCCTGGAGATGTGCTACGTGTCGGTCACCATGCCCAGCCTGCTGGTGGGGCTGTGGGCTGGTCCTGTCCACGTGTCCTTCTCAACCTGCATCGTCCAGCTTTTTTTGTTCACCTCTCTCATTGGTACCAAGTGCACCCTCCTGGCCTCCATGGCCTATGACCGCTATGTGGCCATCTGTCGACCTCTGCACTACCCACAGCTCATGCGACCCCAGGTCTGCCTGGGCTTGGCCATGACTTCATGGCTTGGTGGGCTGGTTGTCTCGGTGGCCAAGACCACGTGCATTGCCAGCCTTTCCTACTGCGGTCCCAATGTCCTCAACCACTTCTTCTGTGATGTCTCCCCTCTGCTCAACCTGTCCTGCACCCACGTGGCCCTCACGGAGCTGGTGGACTTCATCTCTGCCATCGTCATCTTCGGTGGCACGCTGCTGGTTGCCCTGGCTTCCTACGTTACCATAGGAAGGGCCGTGTTCCGCATGCCGTCAGCCGCTGCCCGCTCCAAAGCTGCCTCCACCTGTGCCTCGCACCTGGCTGTGATGGGCATCTTCTACTCAGCCACTCTCTTCATGTATTCCCACCCGCACCGCGTCGCATCCACAAACCTGAACAAGTTGCTCTCGGTCCTCTACACAGCGGCCACGCCCACGTGTAGCCCGATCATTTACTGTCTGCGCAACAGGCAGGTCCACGCAGTGCTGCGCAAAACACTCCGCCAGCGCTCTGCTTCTTCGGAGAACTGACTTTTTCTTGCTCCTGATTTCAAAGCTTTCACCACCAGAAACGCGTCCCTGAGTTTCCAAGGTAACCAGATGGCTTCAGCCAGTGTGTCAGGGATTTTGAAAAGTGGAAATAGTCACGAACAGAAAGGCTATTGGCAAAGAAACACAATCATTTGACAGCCTCCGAAATGATTAGCAACATGTATTGGTTCTGGAAATTAAAGATCAAAAACTGTTTTACTCTGTAATGAAACTATTATGTTCATAAATGTGCATGTATAGAATTATGTGATGCTTAACCAATCCCTTCAGAATATTCATTGGGAAATTGCAATACGTGATATCTTTGGAAATGATTAGAAGTAATTCAAACGCTCACATATGGAAGATGATTTCAATACGTCACACACATTCTGTGAGATCCAAGAGGGAGGTGAGATTACACCTGTGCATACTGACATGGGAGATGGCCTTGCTACGTTCTCCAGTAAAAAGTCAAAGAATCAATTAGATGAGTGTGTTAACATTCCATAAACTTGTGATGACAATAATAATCATTAAAATGTTAAGTTAATATGTGGCTGGTTTTGTGGCGTAGCAAGATAATCTTCTGTCTGCAGTACAGGCATCCCACTTGGGCACTGGTTCATGTCCCGGCTGCTCCACTTCCCATCCAACTCCCGGCTTTGGCCTGGGAGAGCATTGGTGGACGTTCCCAGTGCTTGAGGCCCTGCACCCGCGTGGGGCACCAGAAGCTCCGGGATCCTGGCTTCAGCCTGGCACGACTCTGCGCTAGCAGCCATTTGACCAGTGATATCTCTCTGGTTCTTCCTCTCTCTCTCTGCAATTCTGACTTTTTAAAATAAAGCAAATAAATCTTTTTTTAAAAAATGTGATTATGTGACTTTATCCTTAGAGAGGAATCTGAAGGTGAATTTATAAAAGTTTTCAGCAAGAATTTTTAAGTGTGGGGCCACATGGGGCTCATAGTCTGTTTCCCATAGAAAACATTGTGTATTCAACTGATGTTACTTTTATACGATACCTGTAAAAATGCAGTGGAAAATACAATGAATTAGCTAATTTAGTCAAACATTTTGAAATGCATTTTTGTAACATTTTGTCCTCATAAATCTTTTGAAGACTCCTAATGTATATAAATTCCAATAAATTCTCCCTAAAACTAACATCTTTTAATTACATTTCCATTAATTTCGAAAGATACTCTTGCATAAATACATAAATAAATAAATATAAAGGAAAACACAAATTAATGCTTTTTATTAAAATTATGTGGGTGAGCTCTCAAGGGAAATAAGAATATTCTTTTGAATAAGAATAAATAATAATAAATAAGATAATTGATAGGAGAAATAATAATAAATAAGAATATTCTATTGTTTTTGAGAGAGTAAATCGGCACATTTTAGAAGGGTGACTTGTTAATCAATTAGAAAGTCCTTGAAAATTTGAATGCCTTAGTTCTCATTAATTGCATTTTATACATTTACCATGGTGCAAAAAATGTACAGTCAAGATAGTGAAGCACAAAAATAGCTACCCACGGTTATTATTTTCACAAAGGCAACCTATTAGTTTATTACAATAAAGAGAATCAACATGACAGGTAAGCCTAGGAATTATATTTGAATTCTTTTAGTAAGGAAAAATCAAGAAGGAAAATTTATGTATATGAGAATGAAAAAGAAACCACTTGGAAAGACACAAAATTGTGAGAAAAGCCCTCTCTTTGTAGGAATTAAACATCGAGGCAGGCTGGGTGACACAGACCCCATTTGGAATGTTCACACACTCTGCTATTGCATCAGTATTATTGCACCTTCAACCTGAACAGAAAGGAGGTTGGTGGTTTCTTGTGGTTATGGGTGGTAGAGAAAGATTGGAATTATTTGTATTTATAAAAAATTTTATTTATGTATTTAAAAGGCAGAGTTGAGGAGAGACAGACATCTCCCACCCGCTGATTCCCTCCTCAGCTGGCCACAATGGCTAGAACTGCGCTGGTCCAAAGCCAGGAGTTTCTTCTCGGTCTCGTCTCTCACGAGGGTGCAGAGGCCTCAGTACTTGGCCCATCTTCCACTGCTATCCAAGACCATTAGCAGGCAGCTAGATCAGAAACAGAGCAACTGGGATTTGAACCAGTGCCTGCATGGGAATTACTTTTAGTATGTCCAGATTTCTTTCATGGTTCATGAACATGCTCTGGAATTAAACAGTAATGATTCTTGTACATTTTGTGATCTAAAAAGCTACAAATTATACATGGCTTAAAGGTGAAATTCATAACATAAGAATTATATTTAAACATCAAAGTAGGCCATAAATACCTTGAAATTTTCACCAGGCCAGTTCAACAGCTAACATGAGGACCAATGCCACGTCTTAAGGAAAGCTGCTTGGAATTCCTTGTTGCGCAGACAATATATGACGGGGTTGCACATGGGCGTGACCACCGTGTAGATGACTGATAACATCTTGTTGAGGTCCATGGCCTCTATGTGTCTGGGACGGGCATAGATGAAGATTGTGGCTGAGTAGAAGATGCCCACCACCACCAGGTGGGAGGCACAGGTGGAGAAGGCCTTGTGACGGGCAGCAGCTGACGGCATGTGGAGCACGGTCACCCCAATGAATACATAGGAGACCATAGTCAAAATGAGGCAACCCCAGAGGATGATGATGGCAGAGATGAAGTCCACCAGCTCTGTGAGGGCCACGTGGGTGCAGGACAGATCCAAAAGAGGGGCTACATCACAGAAGAAGTGGTTGAGGACATTGGGACCGCAGTAGGTCAGAGTGGCAATGCATGTGGTCTTGACTAGAGAGACAACCAGCCCACCAAGCCATGAAGACAAGGCTAAGGCCTGGCAGACCTGGGGCCGCATGAGCAGTGGGTAGTGCAGAGGTCGACAGATGGCCACGTAGCGGTCATAGGCCATGGAGGCCAGGAGGATGCACTCAGTGCCAACGAGGACAATGAAGAAGAAGAGCTGGGTCATGCAGGCTGTGAAGGGCACACGGTAGGGTCCTGTCCACAGCCCCACCAGCAGGCTGGGCATGGTGACCGACACGTAGCACATCTCCAGGCAGCTGAGGTTGCCCAGGAAGAAGTACATGGGCTTGTGGAGCTCCCTGTGGCTGCCGATGAGGTAGATGATGAGGGAGTTCTCCAGGAGCGTCAGCAGGTAGAGGGCCAGGAAGACCACAAACAGGGCATCCCTTATGTCTGGCCTCGTGGACAGTCCCAGCAAGACGAACTGCTGGACCCTGGTCATGTTGGTCAACTGCAAGAAGTTCTCCATCTTAGGGGAAAGCAAGCAAGCTTGTTAGCATTCTGGCCCCCGAAACAGCATAGTCATAAAATAGTTATTTATGGAAGCTGCGAGTGGGGGAAAGAATAGAAAAAATGAGTTTGTGTCATTAATTGTGATTGATGTGTCATTCTAATATGAAATGTTGGTAACAGAGGGCGTAGGTCTGCCATTCTAGCACAAGATGCTAATACCTGTGAAGAATGTTTGCACTACTTCGTAATTTTTGTTTTGAAAATTGGAAGCTATTCTGAAATAAAAGGTTTTAAAAGCAGGATGTTCACAATGCTTGGAGATTGCAATGCCTTTGCCAGACCATTTTCTTTGGTATCTTTTTAAAAACTATTTTTTTTTTCAAAGATTTATTTCTATTTAAAAGGCAGGTTTACGGAGAGAAGGAGAAACAGAGAGAAAAATCTTCCATTTGTTGTTTCACTCAAAAAAATGTCTGTAATGGTCAAAGCTGAGTGCATCTAAAGCCAGGAGTCAAGAACTTCTTCTGAGTCTCCCTCACAGGAGTAGGGGCCAGACTTTGTATGCACTCTGCGGCAATCCCAGCCAGCAGAGAGCTGAATGGGAATTGGAGCAGCCAGGACAGAAACTCGTGCCCATATGGGATGCCAGTGGAGGACTTTTCTGTGGGGTCGTGGTGTCAGTTCCTGGAATCATTTTGTTGCTCTGCGTATTCCAGCAGAGAGACTTTGAATGTGAGGTTGGACATCTCAGTTATTTGCCTCTCTTTTTTTTAAATCATTATTTTTAAAATAATGCTACTTAGTTGATTAGGGTACAAAGGGTCAAGGGCTACAGGGTGAAAATGGGTAATACCATTGTTTCCACACTAATATTGTCATTTTTTCCTGTATCTGGGGTTAGGGGAGAAACAAAGGGGAAAGCCCCACTCAGCTTCCCACCCATTCCAGGTCCCTAATGTGAGGCATGCTCCGAGGGTCCTGTTCAAGCAGTTTTGATAGTTCAATAGTTCTGAATTGCTGCCCATCTCGCTGTTCTGATCACAATGAAACCTATTCAGAATCCACTGGCTGACATAGTCTCTTCATGGTTGGGGTTCTGAGATCAGCAGTTCAGTTGGAGGGATCTCCCAAGAAACTTCATCTGAGATGATCCCAGACCTGATTCTTGAGTGAATTTGCTAGTACAGGGTCCAACACAGTCCGTCACGCCAATCAGCTTTTGCACATACTCGTCATTGCTATTGCTGGGCCAGTTCTGTTTCCAGCCCTGTCTTCCTCGTGAGCCAATGGGTGTTGTAGTCCAGCTCGATCCTACCCACTTCATACTCGGTCCTCATGCAAACCAGTGGGAGCTGCAGCCTAGCTGGGGCAACTCCCCAGAACCCCCACCAGGCCTGTCCCCTACCCTGGTTCCATGCATGCCAGTATTTACCGCAGGCTTGTCCAGTCTGTCCCACATCCCATTTAGATCTCGTACATGTCAATGGGCATTGAAGCCTAGTTCAACCCAACAACCTACTCTCCAGCCCACACACATACTTATTTGCCTCTTTCCTTACCAAGTCTCTGATCTTATGCAAACAATTTCACTATTGAAATTTGAGTAGCACTTCCTCCCATAATAAATCAAGTTGTGGATACAGTCTTATAACAAATTAGAAATAAGAATGTTGCAATGCTAATTTTGGAAATGTGAATTCTTTAGGATTTTTGT